CTAGTTTTTTGTATTTTTTAGTAGAGACGGGGTTTCCCCATGTTAGCCAGGATGGTCTCGATCTCCTGACCTCGTGATCCGCCCGTCTCGACCTCCCAAAGTGCTGGGATTACAGGCTTTAGCCACTGCGACCGGCCTGTGTTTATTTTTTAAATTAGGTGAGATTTTTAAATTCCAAAAAAAACATTCAAATACTGACATGAGAAGATAGAGAAACCCTGAATAATCCTTAAGGGTGAACCGTGAACAGGAGGCCTAGGCTGTCTCCTATATTCAATCCTAGGAAGACGATGTTGCTGTTATTTTCCTCCAGCACTCTTTCTTCAGTCAGAGTAGACTTAGATCAATGAGAAATGCTGCATTTCACGCATTGTTTATTGTGAAAGCTTTGCTTGGGGAACTGCACCTGAACTGGGAGGGCAGTGAATGGTGTATGGACACTGAATGATGACATGATTAGGATCATGTAAAAGACTGTTAGGAAAGCAAGGCTTTCTTGAACTAACATGGACATGGAGGTGTCCTCCAATGTTGTAAGATGTTCTGGATCAGACAATGATACATGAACATTTCAAGGTGAACCTCATGCACATTAACTTCAATTCCCAAATAGCGATGCTACTGAATTGTGGTGTGAAATGTTAGACTGCTGCTGGACATCCCTCACCCCACCAATAACACTGAAAATGCTGAACATGCTTTTTCTTTGTCCTTTCATAAATCTATGTTAATTTAGAGTCAAGTGAACTCCTGTTGTGTCTCTGAGTTTTATTGCCCATAAGAATCTACAACTGTTGCTGGTGGCCATGCAGTCCTCTAATTGTCTATGAAACCAAATTAAAATTTTAAAAACTTTTGCAAAGAAAATCCCAGGCAAATGACTTTTTCTGGGGCATTCTAGCAAATACTTAAGGAGGAAACCAATCTTATACAAATTCTTCCAAAGAATAAATAATGAGGGTATCATCTCCCAAAGCCCTGCCCAGAACTCTAAAGTGAAGCCAGAGTTGAGGGTGCTCCTCCCCCAGTGTCAACCTGGTTCCCACCTCCCAGTGCGGGAGAAAAGCAAAGCGGGTGAGCTGGGAGGAGTGCAGGCTTTGGGGACAGGCCATTCTCCAGGTGCCAGCCTGCGCGCAGGGCCAACAGTGCCTAGCAGAGAACCACAGGGCTCAGTAAGCAGAGGCCACACAAGCCCCAAGGTCAGATTTGAGTGGGAGCCAATGTGGCCAGGTGGGCGGGGGGCCTGGCTGAGGTGCCCAGAAATCCTATCAGCACCACTGGGTCCCCTAGAAGAAGCTCAAGTTCCCAAAACAGCTCGGGGTTAGAGGTTAGGGATTAGTCAGACCTCACCTTGGACACCAGCCCCAGCCCTGTCTCAGCCCCAGGGACACCAGGGCATGGGGCTGTCACAAGGAAGTAGGTGGCTCAGGTCAGTTTGCTCCATGACTCCTGGGACCCTACAGACTTCCCTCCCCGTTCTGCTGCAGCCCAGTGCACAGCACGCTGCTCTGCTGTGCCAGGTTGTGTTGTGTTGAGTTGTGCTGTGCTGTGTCATGTGCTGTGTTCCTGCAGACTCCCTGTCTGGGAGCTCTAGGGCCCTGGCCTCTAAGAAGCCCCAGCCCCAAGTCAACCTCAGGCAAGGCCTGCATCCCTGCTGCCTCCGCTTCCCTGGCTCAGCCTTGAAGCTCCTGCTGACCCCTCTGCCACTCATCTACCACCCATCATCCCCACTTAGAGGCCAGGAAGCAGCAGGGGCCATCTCCCCCTTCTCTCCACACTTTCTCTCCTCCCTCCATCCTCCAGGACACACAACTCCAACAGAAACCAGAAATCTTGCAAATGCCCCGACATACCCACCGACCCCAGGACACCTCCTCTCCAGGTGTTTGGCACAAGGGACACCCCCACACCGGCCCCATCGTGTGCCCTGGTGGCCCCGAGGCTGCAGCACGGGATGCCTGTCTGGCCCTGGACGTGCCCTGGGCCCTGCTCTCTGCCACACCTCACAGGACAAACCCAAACAATTACTGTCCTCCCTCTGAAATGGTGGGTGTAGTGAAGGCCTTGCAACCCTCCTGTGCCTAGGCCCCTCACCCCCACACTCTGGCTGGCTGCATCTGCTGCCCAGAGCCCTTGCTCAGAAGGCGTGCAGCCCAGACCACGGTGATGGCAAGGGAGGCCCTTCCTAAACCTAGAGATGGTCTAAACCTTCATGGAACTGCTGGTGCCAGCCAGAGTCCCAGGTGAGGCTGAGATGGCTCAAAGTGGTGCATGGGAGATGTCTGATATCAACCCTCTCCTGGAGGTAGATGATGTCTCCACCCTGATGACTTCCCTGGCCTCCAGCTATCGCCACCCCCAGTGTCCCTAAGGCTGAAGGTGCAAGCCTGCCCTGGCCCTAGCATAGAAAGTGCACGACCTGGTCATGTCGTGCAGGTCAGGATACCTGTGTGCCAGGTAACTTCAGGTGGGCATGGTGGCGCATGTGGGGCAGTCCTGTAACCTGCAGTGTGGTGGGTGGGACGGATGTGTGTGACACAGGCAGGAACTTCCCCTGATGGCAGTTGAGGACCCACATGTGTATTGGGTGGGCGCCGATGGGAGTGGCTGGGCACGGGCAGGTGAATGAGTGACAGTTACACAAATTCCACCACTGAGTACGTCACTCCCAGGGCAAAACACATCACAGCCACAGGCACAGTCCTGGGAGGCCCAGAGGGGCCTGAGGTCCCCAGGAAGCCTCCTGGCCCTCTTTACCCTAGGAGGACCCCCCACTCCTTCTAAAGAACCCCCGCCCCCGCAAGCCGGCTCCACCTGTAGCTGTGGGCGTGGGAGAGGCACAGAGTGCTCTGTGGGCCAGAGAAGGAAGGAAGATGGACGGAGGGCGGACCTCTGCTCCCTGACTCTGCTGCTGGGCCCTCTGCGGCCCTCCTGGAGCCCACACCTTTCAGCTGCAGTCTCCCAGCCTTTGTCCCCAGAACAAAGCCCACTAGGCCAGTGCTCTTCCACTGCAGCTTTATGTTCCCCTTGGGGAGGGTTCCCAGATTGTGCAAAGTGAGGAAGGGTCCCCTATCCCTGTCCCGCAGGGCCCCCACTCCAGGCCTCCCCTATCTCTCCCTGTCTCTCTCAGAGGCAGAGGCAGCGGCAGCATTAAATTAAAATTTAATTTAAATATTAAAAAGAAAGTAAAAAATTCAAATATACACCAACAGTAGACTGCTCTGGCTTGCATACAAAGAGGTCCATTGCCCCTTTGGGTGGGCCGGCCAAGGTCAGGGTCTAAGAAGCGCCTCTGGTGAGGGGGGAGTCAGGCTCTGATGGCTGCGGGAGGAGTGACTCCTCCCAGGATGAGGGTCTCTGTCCTCCCAGCGCTCACTCAAGTTCCGTATTTCCAACTCCTTCCACGGAGCTTAACGCACATGAGAACGCCCATTTGTGTCACAGATACGTGGCCGCATGCATTTCCAAGAAATGTCCTTGGCGAACTACAGCTGGCACAGTCCAGCCCAGGGCGTTCTGTGAGCTGTAGTCTCCGGCAAGTGCATTCCAAAAAAACCTCAAATACCACAGAAGCTGGACAGCGTAGCAGCAGGGTTTGGCAAGAGAGGAGCTCTTTTGCTAGCAAAGGCGAGAGCTCGCGCGGTACCAGTAAGGTCTCCCCACGCCCCCGGAAAGAAATATTGGTGTGAGCGCACGCTGACCCAGAAAGAGTTTGCCATGGCCGCACGGTTTTCTGGGAAGTGTAGTTTCTTGGTCCCGGCGCTATTGTCCTCAAAAGTAGAGGGTAGCCCTTGGTTCCGAGGTGTATCTTTCACCACAGGATGACTGTGTGCCCCAGGACACTTCGCGCGTGGTCCTAACTGGCCGGTTCTGGGACAATAGTTTAGTTTCTTAGGAAACCTAGACCGGTTTGCCCGCGGCGCGCCAGGTCCGCGCGGCCGCAGAGACTCCTGGGAAGCGTGGTCTTCCGGTGCCGGCGGTTCGCGGATGATTCTGGGAAATGTCGATCGGCTGTGGGCTGCGCACTGGGTCCGTCCCGCGGCAGCCTCAGGCCTGACGGCGACTCCTAGGCTCAGGGACGATTCTGGGCAGTGTCGTTCCCGGAGGTCGGCGGCCGTTGCCCGCTCACCAGCGACGCGGGGCGTCAGGTCCGCAGAGGTGCGGGCTCGGGGCGCCTGCGGGGACGGTGAGGCCCCGCTGAGGACTCCGGCTAGTGTGAGTCCCGGGGGCGGCGGCGGGGCTCAGGTCCTGGGTCTGCCCCGCGGTGTGACCCCGGCCGGTGCCCTGGCTTTTCCTGGCCTTCTTGTCCTCCTGTGTAAACGCGGGGTGATGACGGCGCCGACATCTTGGCGCTGTTGTGAGAGCGAAGTGGGCGCGTGAGCAGACGCCAGCTGCAGTTGTCTTTGGGTTATGTCGTCATGAAGCCGGCGCTTTGCAGTTGTGTAACCTTGAACAAATGGGTTCAGTATCTTGGAATTTCAGTTTTGTCATTGTTTAAAAAGAAATCTGGAATAATGTGAATGCCGACCATGCATAGTAATGAAGATCGAACGAGCTGATAGTTGTTACCGTTGTTTTATGAGGCTTTTATGTACAGAATAATTGATTTTCCCCGCAGGTGGCACCTGGTAAACGGTTAGCCCTTGCGGAGAAACAACCTGTTAGTTCCCAGGGAGAGATTGACGCCCTGGAGAGTGATTACCAGTGTGCTTTTTCCATTATGGTGTGTCACAGGTGCCGCAAGATAAACCTGATTTTTCATGACTGCTTTTCCCTGCCCTTCTGTGCCCTCAGGACACTGCCCATCTCTAAGATAAGAGCCTGGCAAGAGGACTCTGTTGGCTGTTGGGAAATTGCAGAGTAATGTCTCAGGTAAGTCAATGTGTCCCCAAATCTTCCTGAAACACTTTATCAGGACTGTGTGTTTGCTTTGCTTCTCCTGCCTGTTCCCACCTAATTAAGTCTATTTAAGGGATTGAATCTATGGTTCCATCCATATATATAGGAAGGATGGAGCCCACAAGGTATTGTCCTCCTCACCCAGTGGTCCTCTTTTCTACAGTTTTCTGCTAGAAGACTTTCTAGTCTTGCCAACGTTTTAAAACTACAATTCACAATGCAGCTTTGGAATGTAAGGTTATTTGCTTTATGATTGTCAAAACTGTACCATGTAGTCTCAAGTGAAGAGATGTTTGCCGACATCCTTGATTCTCCCTTTGACTTATAACTCTTACTCAGATCCTCTAGTTGGAGCTAAGTTATACGCTGTATACAGAATCTGACCCTTAGTTACCCCATCACTACCACCACCACTACCACCCCGGTAGTGCTAGCGATAAAGCCACCTGGATTATTGCAGAATCCTAGCTGGATTCCCTCCATCTGCCCTTAACCCTCATCGGTCTGTTCTTAGTACAGCTGTTATTGTGACCCTACTGTTATATCAATTCCTATCATTCCTCAACCTAAAAGTTTTCAGTGGCTCTGAGTTACTTCTGCAATGACCTGTTTGTACAATTAGGCCATTACCTCTCTGATCCCACCTTCCTTCTCTGCTTCCTCATTCCTGTGAGCTCCAGCCACTGTCACCAGTTGCTGTGCCATCCACGTGGAATATTCTTCCCCGACATAGGCACAAGCTTGCATTCTTATCGTCTTCGTGTGTTTGCTCCGTGGTTACTTTCTCAGAAAAGCGTCCCTGAATGCCTCAATTGCGGTCATCTTCTCTCGCCTAGCACTTCCACTCCTCCATCACTGCTTTGTTGTTTTCCACGGCACGTGTCACTCACTAACTGATGTACTGTATATTCAGTATACGCACATGCTCATTGTTTGCCTCTTCCTGGTGGGAGAAATGTTTTTTCTTTTTTGTTGTCTGTTATAGCTTCAGTACCCAGAGTGGTACCTGGCACCAAATAGATGCTTAGTAACTAATTGTTGAGTGAATAAGATGAGTAATGAAGAACTGATGGGGCAGAATCATGGCATGGAACGTGAAGCTTGCACAGGAGAGAACATGAGTAGCAGATGTACATGTTGGGTGAAGTCTGTTTTCTTGGAGAAATTAGATAATTAGAATCGAAAAACTGGTGTGGTGGTACATGCCTCTTTTTCCAGCTATTCGAGAGGCCGATGAGTTGAGAAAATTTCTTGAACCCTGTGGTATGAGGCTTCATGAACTATGTTTATGTCACTGCACTCCAGCCTGGCGACAGCAAGAAAAAAGTAACAGCTAAAGTGAACTCATGCCAAAATTATTAATTGGTTCATCTTCTAAACACTTGTGAAGTACCTGTTAGGAAAAGTTGTAGATGAATTTCGGTGTACACCGACACACAGGACTTCATATTCTAATACAGTATTGTCTAAGAGAACTTTCTGCAGTGGTGGAAGTGTTCTGCATATGTGCTGGTCAGTACGGTAGCCACCAGCCCTGTATGACTATTGAGTCCTTGAACTGTGGCTTAAGCAACTGAGGAACTGAATTTTAAATTTTATTTATTTTATTTTTACATTTTAATTAATTTAAATGTATGTAGCCAAATTGCCTAGTGGCTACTGTATTGAGGATTGCAGCACTGGTAGAAAAGTAAGAAAGCATGAGAAGTTAAAATAAGTGCTAGGACAGATATCCTATGTTCTTTTCGGGACAGAGATGAATGAACACCCCAGGCTGCCCAGGCAACTGAAGGGGAAGAACTTGTAATCCCTGGCTCTAACTTGTAATAACCTGTTCATCATAAAGCTATGATAAATGTTTTTTTGATTTGGGATAAAGGGAATTAACTAACACAGTGGCAACTACAATTAACAGATGAATTTAGGATAAATTATGTGTAGCAAATTGAACTGTCAGGTCTTACTTGATTATTTGGAAAATGTATGTATTGGATTGTATCTGCTTGGCTATAAAAAAGATGAGATTTCTTCCTGTCCTTTTAATCTCATTAGTGGATTGCCTGTGAAGTACATCACAATTGATTTAATGCTTATTAAGTAATAAAACTGTGTTCTTTTTTTTCTACATTTGTGGAGAGGATATTCTGCCATTGGCAGGAGATTTGAATTTTAATTATTTTCCCAACACCTGGGAAAAGTAAATTCTGCCTTTAAAACCAAAGACCAGTATCACTGGTGAATATGCATGCAAAATATCCAAATAATGTAATACAATACTGAATTAACTGTCAGACCTAAAAAATTACCACAGGCAAGCAATTTGTTTCACAAATCAAAGACAGTAATAATGCTGTATTAAATGGATATATTTTTTGTACATAATATAATTTAACTAGCCAATAAACTACTATTGAATATTGAAGCTTCCAAAGTTTTACTATTTTAAGTAATACTGTGAAATGAGTACTATTGAAAGGAATTTCTAAGCACATCTGTGAGCATTTCCTTAGAGTATTTTCTTTGAAATGTACCCTTTTATTTTTTTCCCTTTCCTTTCAGGTCCTATTTAAGGACTATCTAAGACAGTGGTCCCCAACCTTTTTGGCACCAGAGATCAGTTTTGTGGAAGACAGTTTTCCCACAGAAGTGGGAGGTGGTGTTCTGAGGATAAAACTGTTCCACCTCAGATCATCAGGCATTAGTTCAGTTCACATAAGGGGTGTGAATTGATCCCTTGCACGCGCAATTCACAGTAGCGATTGTGCTCCTATGAGAGTCTAATGCCATAGCTGATCTGACAGGAGGTGGAGTTCAGTTGATAATAGTCATTTGCCTCCCAATCATCTCCTGCTCTATGACCCAATTCCTAACAGGCCACAGACCGGTACCAGTCTGTGGCCCAGGGGGTTAGAGACACCTGATCTATGATATGAAACCATCCTTCAGTCTTTTCACTCAGGGGTCTCATATTTTAATTCTTAAATGTCTGTCAGTACAAAGTTTAAGTATACATCATAAATATATTTTTCTTTTTTGTTTATGAATCAGTTATATGTATGTTTTAGTCCATTGGTGCTGCTGTAACAGAATACCACAGACTGAGCAATTTATGAACAATAGAAATTGACCTCTCATGGTTTTGTAGCCTGGGAAGTCCAAGATCAAGGGGCAGGCATCTGGCAAGGGCCTTCTTGCTGTGTCCTTTTATGGTGGAAGGGTGAAGAGAAGAGAGAGAACCAAAAAGGGGCTCAAATGCATTTATTAAATAAGCCAGTCCTAATGATGATGACATTAATCCATTCATGAGGGCAAAGCCCTCAAGGCATAATCATCTCCTAAGGTCTTACCTCTCAAAACTGTTACAATGGCGATTAAGTTCAATACATGCTTTTTGGGGGTCACAATCAAACCATAACAGTGTATGTCTATCAGTCTTTAATATAAAGATTTTTTTTTTATTTTTGAGACAGAGTCTTGCTCTGTTAGCCAGGCTGGAGTGCAGTGGCACAACCTCCGTCTCTTGAGTTCAAGCCATTCTCCTGCCTCAGCCTGCTAAGTAATTGGGATTACAGGTGTGAGCCACCACACCTGGCTGCCCATTTTTTTGTGAGCCTTAGTGGATCATCCTGAGTATCCCATTTGAGAGACAATCGCTTTAGCCTCATTTTTTTATTTACTTACTTAGTACTTAAGCTGTAAAAGATATAACTAAATACTTGACCCTGTGCTGTCAAATGTCAAATACTGATTTTTTAAAATTCGTGTATTTCTGTAACTTTTAGCAAAATTAACTCTCCTGAAGCAAAGCTCTCATATTTGTTTCTCACCCTTATTGTATAATAATTCTAATCACATACCTGTCCCCCTTATGGTATAGTAATTCCAACTACATACTGTCCTATTATTACTTAACTGAGATCACATTCCCAATCATTGCCACAATTCCTGAATCTTACTCCATTTCTCCCACAACCAGGCTAATTTTACCCTTTCTTCAGTGACAGAAGAGGCCTGGGCTATGCATGAGCCTAAATATATTTGCTATTTCAGGTGACATTTAGTGATGTGGCTATAGACTTCTCTCATGAAGAGTGGGGATGGCTCGATTCTGCTCAGAGGGACTTATACAAGGATGTGATGGTCCAGAATTATGAGAACCTGGTCTCTGTAGGTAAGGATATCACCCCTTCCACGCCATTAGGGGCTCTTTTGCCACTCTGAATTGCTGGAGATCCTCCTAAGTAAATGGCTGAATTTCTGTAGCATGTTCCCAAAGAAATGTGCAGCTCTGTTGTGCCCCTGAAGCTTATCTTTCCATTTCAGTGAACACCCTTCATTCCTTCCTGTGGTCCCTCATGTGATGCCTCTCATAATAGAGGATCACAGCTTAAACAATTCTATATTCTTCCTGTAAGCAGGTCTTTCCGTAACTAAGCCATATGTGATCACATTGTTGGAGGATGGAAAAGAGCCCTGGATGGTGGAGAAAAAACTGTCAAAAGGTATGATTCCAGGTGAGTCATGGTGAACGAGACTAAGGAAGATTTTGTTAAAGATGTTTATAGAGAGTGTGGAAGCATTTTAGGGATACTGTCTTCAAAGATCTCAGATAGAAATGAAAAATTGAGGGATATTTAGCTTAGATTTTCAAAACAATTGTTCCTCTATCCCAAATTATTATCTGTGTTACTCATGTCATCTAATCAGGGTTAGAGGTTTTTGCCATCATAATAATTCAATTGTTACTCTGTTCATGACAAAGTAAGGCAAATTATTCTTTCTTAAATCTACTTAAAGAAAAACCTACTGATAGTTTTAGGCTAAGAAAAGCTGTCAATTAGATGAGAAATCACTTTTCTAAAGCTGAGCCTTACAGATGAAATATGAACATATTAGAGGAAAAAACGAACATATATAAAGATGTTTCTAGGAATAATATTTTCTAATGTCCGGTAAATGACATGATTCACACAGTTTCTTCATAACCTCGGAAAGCCTAAATCTTTGTCAGATATAAAGAGCATTTAGATTATTTTGTTTTTACTGAAACTGTTTAAAGTAGAAATATCAATTCTGTATTTTAAGTGTGTTAATCTGGCAGCAAATTGAGATTAATTGAATGTTGGAGAAAAAGGCTATGAGACAAAATGCAGTCTTTCACACATGAATATAGGCACAAAATGATGGCTTGGAATCCAGAATGCCTTCCACATTTTATTTTGATAATTTCCTTTTTTTCCATACTATTTCATCCATTACATATATTTTTCCCATTTCTGTTATCACACTCTGTTCCTACTTCTATGAACTTTGTATTCTCTGCTCCATTTGAGCATTGTTCAGAAATCATTGAAATATTTGAGTTGTCAGAGCTATGTGTTTTGTGGGGGCTTCATTTCTAATCCAGTTCTCCTAATTCCACTATAGAAGTTACTTTTCAAGAAGTAAAAAAAAAAAAAAAAAAGCAGTGCTTTACTTTCTTGATGTATTTCAGATTGGGAATCAAGATGGGAAAGCAAGGAATTATCAACAAAGAAGGATATTTATGATGAAGATTCACCCCAAACAGTAATAATAGAAAAAGTTGTAAAACAAAGTTATGAATTTTCAAATTCTAAGAAGAATTTGGAATATATAGAGAAGTTGGAAGGGAAGCATGGAAGTCAGGTAGAGCATTTCAGACCAGCAACTCTCACCTTTAGAGAAAGCCCCACTCCAGACAGTATTTACACCTTTCATTCAAAGTCTACTCTTTTTGAAACACAAAAAATTTCTGCTGAAGGGAATTCACACAAATATGCTATATTAAAGAAGAACTTACCAAAAAAGTCAGTTGTAAAAAATGAGAAAATCAGTGGTGGAAAGAAACTTTTGAATTCTAGTATAAGTGGGGCAGCCTTCCACCAGAGCAAATCTCTTACCCTTCACCAAACTTGTAATAGAGAGAAAATCTATATATGCAGTGAATGTGGGAAAGCCTTTGGCAAACAGTCAATCCTCAATCGCCACTGGAGAATTCACACAGGAGAGAAGCCCTATGAATGTCGTGAATGTGGGAAGACTTTTAGCCATGGCTCATCCCTTACACGACATCTGATAAGCCATAGTGGAGAGAAACCTTACAAATGTGTTGAATGTGGGAAGGCCTTTAGCCATGTATCATCACTTACTAACCATCAGAGCACTCACACTGGAGAGAAACCATACGAATGTATGAACTGTGGAAAGTCTTTTAGTCGTGTGTCCCATCTTATTGAACATCTAAGAATTCATACGCAAGAAAAACTCTATGAGTGTCGTATATGTGGAAAGGCCTTCATTCATAGGTCATCTCTCATTCACCATCAGAAAATCCATACTGGAGAGAAGCCTTATGAATGTAGAGAATGTGGGAAAGCTTTTTGCTGTAGCTCACACCTTACTCGACATCAAAGAATTCACACTATGGAGAAACAATATGAATGCAACAAATGTCTCAAAGTCTTTAGTAGCCTCTCATTTCTTGTTCAGCATGAGAGTATTCATACTGAAGAAAAACCCTTTGAATGTCAGAAATGCAGGAAATCCTTCAACCAGCTTGAATCACTGAATATGCATTTGAGAAATCACATTAGATTGAAACCCTATGAATGCAGTATATGTGGGAAAGCCTTCAGTCATAGGTCATCCCTGCTTCAACATCACAGAATTCATACTGGAGAGAAACCCTATGAATGTATTAAATGTGGGAAAACCTTCAGCTGTAGTTCAAACCTTACTGTACATCAGAGAATTCATACTGGAGAAAAGCCATATAAATGTAATGAGTGTGGAAAAGCTTTTAGCAAAGGCTCAAATCTTACTGCCCATCAAAGAGTACATAATGGAGGGAAACCCAATAATGTGGTAAGTGTGGAAAAGCCTTTAGACCATATGAATCACTATACATGTGAGAAACCTTACAGAAGAGAAACCATATGAAGCAGTGTTTATCATGGTAATTTTCATTCCTAGATTCTCCCTTATTTAACATTAGAAAAATTTACACTGGGGAAAGTCGTATGAATGTGGTGACTGTGGGAAGACTTTTTAGCAAAGATGTAGGCCTGTTTGTTTATCAGACGTTATACTGTAGGGAAATCATATGAAGATCATACATGTGGGAAAATCTTTGTCAGTATTAATCCCTTAATTGACATAAGTGTACTCACACTAGGGAAAAAACCCTGTACATGTAGCAAATGTGGGAAAGACTAGGCAATAGGAATCTTTTACAAACTCCTACAGGAGACAAGCTGTATGAATGTGGAAAATTTAGAAATTGAGGGAAGTCTTCAGTTCCAAGTGTATCCCTTATTCTACAGCAGAGAACTCATTTAAGAGATGTAGCAAAGTGTTCACTAAGAGTGTTTTATCTTGCTACACATCAGAAGATTAATGGTAGAACAACCTGAAGGATTTAGGAATTATGTGTAAATCTTTGCAGTCATGCTATTTGTAAACTGGATTCTACAGGAGAGCAAATAAACATTATAATATGCATTTCTTAGAGCAGTAGCTTGCAGTTTCAGTTGAGTTATACTTAGAAATTCTTTTTAGCTAGTGGACATGTGAAGATATTTAGTCACCCAGAGGAGCCAGTGTTATAATGTTGAAAATTAAAGCTGCAAAAGAAATAAAGTGATGTTAATAAAAGTTTTGGCATCTAATAAAATCATTTTGTATACCACAAACTCTTTTACTGTGACTATTTCTTGTAAAAAAATTTCACTAAGATTAGCCTTAGCATAGCCTTTAGTTGGAGACTAGCAAACCTAGGGAAAAATCACCTGCTCTTTGTACTAAGAATAGCAGTATTTTGATGAGGATTATTCAGAGTCAATTTCCAGTAGGCTTAATTAAATACATTTCACGAAAATTTACTGAGCATCACTCATGTGTATTACACAGGGATGGAATACAGGAATTCAGTAGTTCTGAGCTTAGTGATGTGTCAAAATCACTAGGAGGGTTTATTAAAGCACAGATTGCTAAGTCTGAATCTTAGAGTTTCTGTATGAGTTGATTTGAATTTGCATTTTTCATGTGTTCTCACCGTCCAGAAAGCACATTTTGATAAGCATTGTAATAATGAACAAAACAAATGTGATCTTTTTCTCACAGGGATGTTATCTGACAAGAAAGATGGATAGCAAGTAAATTTGAAATAATTGTTTACAAGTGCTATGAGGACATAACCAAGAAACAACATACTATAAGAGATCAGAGCAGGCTTAGCTGGATGTGATTTTTGAAATGAATCCTAAATGATGAACACTAATTATGTAATGAGTACTACTCATGTAGCTGTGTGCATCCCTGCTTGTGCCTTTGCGTGTGTGTATGTGGTGTACTGGGTGTTATTCTAGGTAAAGTGGACAGTCGAGTTCTGTCATACTTGCTGCAGCTGGACTCCATGTTCCCATGTCTAGTTTCAGATTCTGTGGCTTTGAGGTAGTACTGCTGGCAGCATCATTGGTTTCAGCAACCATTATTTCTCTATCCCTGGATCATAGTTATGGGAGTTTACGTTGAAGTCACTAGTCCAGAAGTGTTCTCATTACTTTTACAGCCTACCTACCAATTTTGAAAGCACTAATTTACAGCAATATATGCCTTGAAATAGTTAAGAGAGTTTTTATTCTCTGCACTGAACCTTGACAGACAATTATGGTTTGTAAGGAGGGAGGATGGCTTCAGATATTCTAACTTCTAGATAAGAAATGGAACAGTCTCACTGGCCCTGTGATTAGAATCCTATCTTGTGATTAAAAAGGTAATACAGATCAATTTGATTTGGAGTGTATGGACACTGATGCAAGTGAAGGGCTGTGATATGGATTGTGCTTCAGATTTTGTTTTATATGTTGGGTGAGTAGTAAGATACGTTGTTGTTTTAAAAAGGAACATTATAGACATAATTCTGGTGTGGAATGAGTGATAAGGTTTCTGACTTGCAACAAAATACATCTCCTCTGATATATGTGCGACCTTAACTGAAAGCCAAAGCACAGAGGCACATCCCAATAGCAATTTGCAACAGAAAGTAGGTTTGGAATGGGGTGGTAAATTTTTACTATTTTGCAGGGATTTTATCTTTCATTTGATTTATTTTTAATCACGAAATTTATATTGAAATTCTGTGGAACATTGAAGGATCTTTGGAAGATTTATAATTAAGGAAGGGCCAGGTGTAGTGGCTCATGTCTGTACTCCCAGCACTTTGGGAGGCAGAGGCAGGAGGATTGCTTGAGGCCAGGAGTTCGAGACCAGCCTGGGCAACATAGCAAAACTCATTAGTCTGTTAAAAAAAAAAAAAATTACCCAGGTGTAGGCACACACCTGCAGTCCTAGCTATTCAGGAGGCTGAGTGGGGAGGGACTGCTTGAGTACACGAGTTTTAAGGTCACAGTGAGCTGTCATCACACCACTGCTTTCCAGCCTGGACAGAAGAACAACACAAGAAGAACAACGTCATGCTTAAGGAAGCATGACGTGGTATCAAACAGTTGTGTATGGATAGACTGGCTACCACATATATACTTATGGGATAATGAGAGTAGCTTTCTTTTCTCCCATTCTGTGTCCTTTCTCTGCTCTCCCAAGCAACTGGTACCACAAAGATGAAGTAGCCCTATAATGCCCAGATTTTGTTTCCACTACACGTAGTTTACTGCTACCATGTCACTTTGTTATGAGAGGATTCATCGAAATACCTGTGCTTTGTCATTTAAAAAGCATGAGCATACATGTGATAATGCTTTACATTTCTGGATTTAAAGTGCCTTCACAATACAGAACTAGGAAAAAGAAGGCCATCTTTTTAAATGAAGATGGTTTTAAGAAAGCAATAAGAGACTTACTTTGCTATGATAGAAGGTTTGGCTGATGTCATAATGATGTTATGATGTCGCTGACATTGTTTCCTCAGTTATACCTATTAACCATTTCTTGAGCATCCACTGTGGGCCTAATAGATAAGAAACACTCCATATCCTTTAAGAGCCCCAAGGTGTGTGTGTGTGAAGAGCATTAAGCTTTGGAGTCATGCTACCTGGGTTTAAATCCAAGTTGCATGTATATTGGCTTTGTGTGACCTTGGACAAACTATTTCACTGTGTCATGCCTCAGTTTCTCCATCTGTAAAATGGTAATAAAGCTATCTCACAGCATTATTATGAAGATTAAATGTATCAATTGGTGCAAAGTGTTTGTAACAGTGCCTGGCCTCTCAATAGCATTCAATATGTATTAGCTGTTGATTTCATCATCATTGTCTTCTCATGGTTGCTTCATCATTCTGGTCTCAAATGTCACATCTAATCACTTGTCATTCTTATGTGTTTGCTGTTTAACATTTTTAGGGGAGAGCTCTTACAAAACCCCCTGGTTTCCTTCCAACAAATTCTTGAGTATCTGAGCCATTTTGAGGGAGAGAATGTTTCTTGCCCTAAATAATCTGAGGAGAAACAAAGAGGCCAGGTAGGAGATGAGATGGGAACCTAGCAGGTCTATGGGAAGGAAGGAGGGTGCCCTACAGATTTGGAAAATGGGCCGAGTGAAGGAGGCATCAGGCTTCCACATGAAGGAAAGGGGAGGCTTTACCGAGAGACCAGAAGCCTACAGTTCTTTATCATCATCTCTCAATACAGAGTCCTGTGGGCTGGGTGCCACTGTTCTCACTCTTCCTAAATGGAGGTTACAGCCTGTCACTGAAGGTCACTGATGCCTGGAAAGTCAAACAGTTTCCTTGTTAGCCTTGGGCCAGTCAGATGTGATTAGAGCTCAGTTGTTGGTAAACACCTAGAAAGAAGTAAGGCACATATCACTGAACACTTCCTGGGAACTTAATTTTTTGCTGCTGAGGGGGAGTCAGTCTTTAAACAAATTGCAATTGTGTTAGAGAAAAAAGCTTTATATGCAGAAGTAATTGATGCAAGAAATAAGACAATGACAAGGCCATATGGCCCGAGAGGTGCAGAGTGTAAGCACTCTGGCATGAAAGATAAATAGGGAAAAATTAAAATGATCATAACACAATATTGTTAATAGCAGCATAAACTGAGCGTTGTGTTTGCACTATGTGCTGCATTGAGACAATTAAATGTTCTCAGCTCTGGACCCAAATTCCTAAGTGTATTGGGACTGTCACTTGCTTACTCTATAAACTTGGGAAAGTCACTTCATTTCCTGATTTTTCCATCAAAACAAAAATAATTCCCATCTTACCAGGTGGTTGTGAGAATTAAAAGACTTACAAAGCAAGCAACAAAGTGCCTCTACATGGAAGTTTGTTGCTGTGGTTTTCCTGCTTTTAATAATCTTCCCATATACTGTAAAGTAAATGCTGTAATTATGTTCATGCTAGTGACCTGAGCTCAGAGTCACACATCTTAGGAATATAGGCTAAATTTGAACATTCAGTAAAAGACCACACCATACTGCCCTCCTAGGACAGATCTCAGAAACGGGTTTCTTTTGGCAAATATACAGGCTCTCTTGCCTCCTTGAACAAAAAATGTTGCCTTTGGCCATGCTGTTCCTTCTGCCTAGAATATGTCCCATACCCCATTTATTACCATGCTTGCCTGCCGAGGGAGGCCTGCCTACCTTGCAAAGCTCACTAGGTGTGTCAAAGATGAACAAAGCTGGACATTAATGACGGTGGTGAGAACAGACTTTAATTGGTAGTAACTATTGCAATGGGGAAAGGAATTTGGCATGAACTGAACCCAGCTTTGATTTGTACAGAGGTGAATGAGTATGTTAAAGGGAGGGTGAGGAAATAGGGAGGGAGTGGAGAACGGGCTCAGTAGAGTCAGAAAACTGAAAAATTACAAAACACAGGAAGGGAGGGGACTGATCTGTGTGCAGTCTATCTGGGTTTGCTACTGGCACTTTGAGGCTCCTATCCTCCCACAGAGGCTGGGAGACAAGGGCCTTATCTTCAGTGTTGGCTGGAAGAAATTCTGTGGACAGCTTTGAGTTTTTCAGGCTGGCACTTTAACAGTCATTAGAAAGTGTTAGTGTTGTTCAAGTCTTAATAGGCAAAAGTTGACAGGCCTATTGAAGAAGGCTCAGAGGGGCCTGGCTAGAGTTTGGTCAAAGAAAGAGAAATCTTTGTCAGGTGTCACCTTAGGCTTCCCCAACCCACTGAGGAAGAATGGAGGTGAAGAAGAAAGAACATAGCCTCAAGGGATCAACATACAGGGTGTGAGTTTCTGCCAAGAGTTGTGTGACCCTGAGAAGGTAACTTAAGTTATCCAAACCTCAGGTTCCTTTTCTGTAAAGCAGGAATAATAGAACCTAACTCTGAGGAAACTGGGATTAAATGAACTGTTACATAACCAGGTACCCTCAGAGCTCAATAAATGTAGCTATTATTGTTATTTAGCCTCTTTGCTTCCACACCACCCTGGAAAACCCAAACAAGTCCTGATCTCTACTTTTGTAAGTGTGTCACATTCCCTGCACAAAGATTCCAGAAGATGAGAAATACTTAATCTAGAACTAGCAAGGCCAAAGGGGGAGGAGGGGGAAGACTCTCCTAGTAGGTGACATTTGTGCAGAACAGGGAAGGATGCAAGGGAGGAGAGGAGAGGGAGAGGCACTGCGGTGATCTGGACTCAGTGTCACAGGCAGAGAGAAACCCTGGGAAGTGGGAAGGAGCTTAGAATGATCAGCACAGCTTGGC